ATTAATAAGAATAAAATAAGATATTCCATCAATATAGTACCGTAAAGATAATGACGATCACATCGTAGTAGCGTCGAAATTATTCAAGACCGGCCTCGAGTCTGACAGCATTGCGTATCACGAACCAGGCCAGATGGCGGATCGAACTTGAAGATCGCAGCATGCTCGCTCTGCCCCGGCTGTTTCACGCCACAGCTGGGCCTGCCACATGTTGCGCGAGCCGTGTTACTGAAGCCTTTCAGCCTCGCCAACGGTTGTTTTAGGCGGTACAGATGAAGATCTGTGTAAACAAGCCAGGTAGAGTCGACACGAGGATTGGGTTCTAGAAAGCGTTTCAAGATAACTCTATATAGCCAACGAGTATCACGGAGATCATGAACACTTCCATGCTTGGAGAATTGCTGTCATCCATACTAGGAGAAGACAGTTACTCAAAGCTATCTTTTGACTGTTAACAATGTTCTATCTGGTACGCTTGAGTGAAGGCAGAAATGGTGACCGAGAGACTAAAAGGGCTATTTAGATAAGGCTCGCAATAACGTGAGGCTGAATACGATTACTCACGTGACGAGAAGCCACACAGGAACTCAGCCTCAAACATAGCAAGCAGCATTTTGTATACTCATTTCATTCCCTATCCAAATATTCATTCTCAAGGAATCCCATACCTCTCCCCTACCCTCAGCGACCCGGCACTTGCAGCAGTAGAGTAAACTCATATTGCACCAGGCGCTCAAGAGGCAAATGGAAAGGTATATACCATGGCCCTGACCAGCCCATCCGAAACCTTCCCAGCGGACAGGTAACATTCAACTTCCATATATATAAAAATATCCTCAAGACATTATCGACTAAAGTATCTCGCCTCGCCTGCTCCGGTGACCAGCCTCGGTATGTGTGGCTGGGTACGGTTGATGCGAGGCTACAGGGGGTATAAGCATCGAAAAGCAAAGAGGTCTAGTAGTGACTGGCCTTTCCACTGCATATCTGCAGTGGAAGGAGCCACTACAAAGAATCGAAGCCAAGCGAAGGGAACAGGGTAAACAACGAATTCACAAGGAACCGCGTACCGCTAGTTGGAAAGATTTCACAAAAGGAAATAGCGAAAAAAATCTCAAAAGATCAAGAAACCGCTCAAACGTTCCTCATAAAAGCACCAGTCTAGAATCAAACATTCTTGTTTACATAGCCATACCAGGGACCGGCTTCCGGGCGGGGATAGGAACAGGTCCGTTGGGGGTAATGGCATTGGGGTTCATGGGACTGGGACCGGGTGCTGGACCTCGTCGTGGGTTGCCGGCCTGGCTCGCGGAGTTGGATCGTGGACGCCCGCCCATTTGGGGTGGGGGTGCCATCTGGGGTCCGCCGCCGTAGGGACCGGGGGACATGGAGCGGGGTGGGCCGGCGTAGGGCGCGTTGCTGTTGGAGCGGCCGCGGGGAGGTCCTTGTTGGGGAGCGTTGCTGTTGGATCGCATGCGTGGGCTTTGTTGCATCTGCGGGGAGGGCATCTGCTGGGGCGACATCTGGCGAGGGGACATTTGACGGGGACCGGGGCTGCCTTGGGGCATGTTGGGTGAGTTCATGCCGGGCGATTGAGGACGCTGCTGAGGACCGCCCGGACCCATGGCTGGGCGGATGGGTGGGCCGCGCATGTTACCTGGTGGTGGAGGACCGTTGCGAGGAGGGCCGTTACGGGGCTTGACAGGGTGCTTGGAGAGACATGTGCGGGGGACGACACCTTGTTGCGATCGGTCCATACGAATGCAGAGAGCCTAAACAAATTAGTCATGTTGCCAAGTTAGAGAAAACAATCGAACTTACCCATCCATCGTCGTACTCGTGGAGCATGCGAACCAGCTGACCAGCGTGGAGATCGAGTTCATCTTGCATGGAAGGCTTGAAGTCAAGTTGAACACGGTGAACGTTGTTAGGACCGGGACCCATGGCAGGGCTCTGGGGACGACCACCAGCCATAGCGCCAGCAACAGGAAGAGGACCAGCAGGAGCTGGGCCAGGGGACGCAGGGATGTCTTCAGTCCATGCCGGGCTCGGGGGAACACTTCCGTTGTTGGCGGCGACAGTTGGCGGCAGAGGAAGCTCAGAAGTAGGAGGAGGGATCGTAGACATGGCAGCAGCATTAGAATCAGCAGTGGCGATAGCCGGAGCTGGGTTGGCAAAGTCAGAACTGGGCTTTGAAGAGTGCATAGCGGAGGCCATTGGAGAAGCATTGGGAGGCGAGTCGGGGATGGAAGCTTGCTGAGTATCGACCGCAGCGTTGTTGCCGAAGGGGTTCGCTGAGGGAGGACCAGATTGCGCCTCAGGATCCTTGAATGGGTCGGCAGCGGGAGCGTTGGCGGCACCGCGTCGCTCCCAGGCGCTGGTAGGACGGTCAGCGGATGCTGAAGGCGAGAGGTTACGGTTCTGGGATTGAGCAGCAGCACCACCGGCGGCAGCAGCGACGTTGAGCAAGTTTCCTCCACTCTTTCGCTGCTCGTTGAATGCTGGGTCGAACTGGGTGACTGGGCGCAGGCTGAGGCGGGGGGCAGTTGATGCAGTATGGGCAGAACGGATGCTGCCTGCCGGAGCAGCTCCAGCGATGATTTGAGGAGGCGGTGGTGCGGGTGCGTTGTACATCTCAGTCTTCTCGTTCTGAGCAGCAGCGGCGGCCATTTGCTTCTTCTTGCGACGGTACAAGAGCAAGATACCAGTGAGAATGGCACACAAGACCAGGAGTATACCCAGGGCAAGACCTGCCTTTGCACCGGTGGACATGCCTTCCTCGGAGTCTGCTGCGGCGGCTGAAGAAGAGGATGCGGTAGCCGAAATGGTCGCGGCTGTGGCAGATGCGAGACCTGCGATGGACGAGGCGGGGCTGGGCGTTGGGGACTTGGTCGCTACCATTAGGGTGGAGGCAGGCTTGAGCGGGCTCTTCGCAGTGGAGGTCTCCTCCACGATTAGATCATCGTCGTCCTGGGTAGATGACGGCTTCCTGGCGGTTGTGGTTGGCTTTTCGGGCTTGGCAGTCTCCTCCGGCTCGTCCTCTTCCTCAGTAGTCGTCTCGCGAGCGCGTGTAGCAGGCGCGGGCAGAGCGATTCCTGGATTCTTAGTCGGCTCTGGTCGTCCATCCTCTCCTACAGTCACGGCGACGACCGCCGTGACAATTTCGACGGGGCCGTCGTCGCGTTGCCGTCGCACAAGATGCGATCCGGCGTGTTGGTGCGCCATGGCATGCATTGTGGCGTATCAAAAGGTCGATTCGGGGATTGGTAGATTATGTTTATGGTGTTTATGGCTCTCGGTAGAACTCCGCCGTCAACTTTACAGTAACCAGCTCGTGCGTTCGAGGTTCCGTATAGTGCGTGGTTAGGTATTACGCGCAGTCTAGGGTTTCTCGATCGAAGTCGGCTCGTTGTAAGGAATGTGGTGCTCGGGGGGCGCACGGGGGTGGATGTCGTGTATTGGGTGAACTAGGCACTAGACAGAAAAGAGTGTAACTATGGTTATGTGGTAAAGAGTGAAATGCGACAGGTAGCGCTTGGTGAAAGAAGGACAAGACGACAACCTGGCCGCAGGAGTACGTGATGTCGTGAGAGGAATTAGAGAGGCGGCGTGGAGGTGAAGGAGCGTCGGCGCAGGACGCGGCAGAGACCAGGAAACAAACGGCAGAGCGCCAACCAAGCTCGAAACGCCCGCGTGCCTGGCAAGGCCGAACCGTGAGAGCTGATCCGTGCAGCCGTACATCTTGCCGTGATGCGCGTTAGCCTGAGGTTAGGTCCAGGTACCCGTGAATGGTGATTGGGCCTCCCATCTAATTTCCTGGGGGCGTTAGGCGCTCGAGCTATTTTCTGCCTCAGCCTCGCGTTGGTTCGCAGATGGCGGTGCACTCCCCCTTATCGAGGGTGACTATCGGCGCGTTTGATATGGCGACATGGGCTTGGGGAGCTAGATGTCATCATAGTTATTGTGTGGTGGCCGATGCGCATTGTTCGCATGTGCTCTCGCGGCGTACGACCGCTCCATCCAATATAGCTCATCGACGCGCCCAGTCAGCGTAAGCAGATCGAAAGAGCAGCGATATAGCGACCCAAGGAATATCCTGCACATCCGGTAATTACCTGCAGATGGCAGATGCAAGCCTGGGTGCCTCGTGCATGGAGGTTGCTTTCCTCGGCCGGTACCCGTCGAGTCGCAATTTCGCTGCTCATCAAAGCTGCATAACAACACGGCAGAGCCCGGTCGATGACAGCATGCCTGCGCTAGGCGGTTGTATGTTTGCGACGATTATCTCAGGTCGCGTGCCCTTCGCATCGTGTCGAAGCGTCTTTGGAATCTCAGGGCGAAGGAGTACAGTGGCAAAAGTAATTCGCAGTGGAAATTGTCAGGTGTGGCATTAACAACAATGAAAGACCGGTGGTGCAATGTCGGCTGTTGAGGGCACGGCATGTCCATCTTTGTGTTAATCGTGGAATCCACGGTTATCGTCAGATGTGTTTTGTATATATGTTTCCTCGCGCATCGTTTAGCCGTGGTTTCGAGCTGGACGCATTGTATGATCGTGCAAAATAATCCATTGAATTGCCGCTTTCAAGCGGAGCGATTTCTGTGCACCGTTGCCAAAGGGTGTTGTACTATAATGATCGGGCCAAAGTCTCCGTCTCTTTTCCACAGTCGAGGCAATGAGAAGCAGCCCTTCAGTGGTGGCCCCCAAAAAGCATATGCGACGGGGATGGTACCCGATGTTACCCCTGGAAAGACAAAATAAAAAAATAAAAGCTCTGCTGCGAGCATGAACTGCATCAACGTCTTTGGCGCACTGTGAGCACCTCGTTAACGAAAAGCAATGTTACTACCAGCATTGAAGTTTTGCAGGATTTGGCCCAAAAGTTCAAGTTACTTTCACAACCACATCGACGCGAGCAAAAAGGATGCCACCGCGTCGACGACGCCGGTGAGAGATGTGCCTGCTACCAGAATTGAACCTTCACGGCACGTCAGCGCCCTGTCCTCGGTGCGACTCGAATGGGTGTACTTACTGGCGACCTCGTCATTACTAGTGACGCGCTCTACCACTGAGCTAAGCAGGCGGGTGTTGGTGTTGATTGATGATGACTAAGACAGAAATGCTAGATATGTAGTCATGAAGAACGTTCGGGACGACAGGTCGATGTGATGTAAAGTAGGAGAGTGCAATTGTTGGAGTAATTAGTCGTGTTCTCCACATAGGTGGGCTCGTGGATACGGGGTTTCGATGCGGCGGTCGAACTAGCGCGACGGCTGCCGAAGTAGCCCCAGAGGAATACCACGGTGGTGGAGAGTGATTTGCGAAACACGGAATACACATCAGTTTGACTGGAGTAGATGGTGCGAAACCATACAGACGTTCTGGTGAGGCGTTTGGCATGTGAAGCCTGCAGCTGGTGGGGACAGAGCCTCCAGAGAACCGGAGCTTGGGCGCAGATAAGTGGGGCGCGCTAAACGATGCGCTATCGGCGTGCAGTCACCGATTCCATAGCTTCTTCGTATTCTGTCTTTTCAGAATCCCGCATCATGCAATCGACGTCGATAACGCCATTTCGGGACCATTGAAGAACCTCCATCGCAATCGCGACTTCGGCTTGTGTTGTCGTGGACCCAAAACCTGCTGCACCGCGCCTTCCTCGAACTGCTACTCAAGCTTTCACTCAGGGTCCGAGCACATTTGGTCGATCAAATCTTGTTTTGATGGCCAGCGCTGCTCCCATTCAGAACAGGCCATACCGCTCACACAAAGTACCGGCCTGTACGCGATGTCGTTCGCGCAAAATCCGATGTCACATCGACATTCCCGGAGAGCCATGTTTGTCATGCCGAGAAAGACGCCTCAAGTGCCAGTATGTCGAGAGTTCAAACACCAGCTCTCCTACAGAAGAGGGTCCAGATCGACGACCCTCTAAGCGGCGACGGCATAGCGAGCCTGAGGAAGGTCCTTCTCGGCCTCGCTCAGCACCCATCTTGCATAAAACCAACAACAATCCTTCCGCATCCATCATGCTTGCGCCGCACTTCGCGGAAGACATTGATATCTTCAACCGACATATCTCGCAGCACCGAAAAGCAGAGGGTGAGGTGGAGTCTTCCAACTATCAGACGCTACTCCATGATGCGAAAGATCCAGTGGTGTACCTCACAGTCCCAAGGTTTCGGACTGGATTACCACCCAACAGCGGCTGCGGTAGAGAACAGCTGGAGATTGTTGAGCAGATAATGGGACCTTTCAAACGAGAAGTGGTCGAGCTGTATTTCAACCACATCCACTACCATTTCCCCATCCTGGATGAGGAGATGTGTGAGATGCTGCGGACAGGGCAATACGGCAGAGTACCAAACAATTTGATGTGTGTCATCTTCGCACTTGCATCGCCGCACTGGGCCAAGTCAGATACCCTGAAAATGCACCCCAAACCAAACTCATACTACGTTTGGAACAAGGCTATCTCAGCGACTCTCGAGGACTTTCTCAGCCCTGGAATGTCTACTATCCAAGCTGCAGTGCTGGATCAGGTTGGACGTCCTTCGGTCTCTATTATCGGCAATATCACTTTATGCGGTCGAACAGTATCTCTAGCTCAGACATTTGGACTGCACAGAGACCCATCAAAGTGGAACATCACAGAGAATGAGAAGTCGGTGCGAATGCGACTCTGGTGGTGTGTCCTCATCACCGACCAGTGGTCTAGTGTTGCATATGGCGCACCACCCTATGTATCGAAAGGCTACTACGACGTCCCGCGACCGACTGTGAGCTCGCTCATTGGCACCAAGGCAACCTCGCAGCAGAAGCAGACTACCACCTGCTTTATACATCTATGTTCCCTGACGGAGCTGCTGGCCGAAATCTTACCCTTCGTTTACCAGATCAGTCCAGATCGAATACAACTCGCCCGGGAGATCGATCGCTTCAAGCACGAGCTAGACGACCTGGAATCACAGCTTCCGGAATGGCTCCCTCTCCCAAATCGTCCGGGCACACCTATGCTATGGCTCTCTTTTCTCTCGATAAGGCTTGTGCTCGCCCGTCTCATCTTCCGCGCAGCTGTCCTTGATGGAGATGGCAGTATAGGGCGAAGTCGGATGGATCAGTTGCGCATCGCATCATCGGCAGTCCTCGATTTCATATTGACTATGGGCGAAACCCAGTTCTTGGACTTTTGGCTGCCCTATGCGACTCACCTCTTGGTGCATGCTATCACCGTGTCGCTTCGCTGCACTGTCGAGACCCAAGATCCTGAAATACGGAACACATGCGTCGCACGCCTGGAACGCGTTATCGCGCATATTCAGCATGCGCGAGATAATTACGATTGGGATCTCGCAAACTATTGTCTTGAGCGTTGCGCTGATCCTGTGTCAAAGATCGCATCGCTGAACGCACGTGAAGCGCCGCAGCCATCGGAGACTGAGCTCACCAGCGTTGCACCTAATGGTAATGGCATTGACGTACCGGTGATGCCTAATTTTGATGATACGACGTTCTTGTTGTCGGACATATTGGATCCAAACGCATTCGACTTCTCATGGGATGCGCTGTGGGATACGCCGTCTGGAATGACCAACTTTTCGTTGTAGAATTTCGTGTTTCGTCATCCCTACTGCTTTGAGCGAATCAAGTTCGTTATACATGATAGCAAGTATGAAAGACACCTTGTGTGCACGTGCGCAAGCCCGCATGCAGTACCCCACCTTGAGTCTGCCTCACGCCACAATCACTGCTGTGCCTCTTAGCCTTGAGATTCACACACTCATCTACGTCCTCACAGTCCGGCCTTGAACTATGCGATATCATAGGGTCGAGCGTTTTGCATCAGCTGAGCTCCTCGGAAACAGCAAGGCCCCCGTTACGGAAACTCAAGGAATCGAGACTGAGCGTGAAGCGCACCAATCATCCGACGGACAGCCAGACTGCGAGATCTGCAGCAAGATTCTTATATGCATCAACCATCTCGGAAACCGCGGCAAGGAGCTTACCTTGGGTATAGCCGAAGATCTCCTGAGATGCCAATGTTCTCATATGGAATTGTTCAAGGATTTCTTGCAAGATGTCTTGGCAGATCATCCGGACTGTGCAAAATACCACCTAACAGTTGTGCGAAACGCAGAAGAGCCCGATTTCATATGTTTTTGGTTGCAGCCTTCACCCGGAGTCGATGGGAGATGCTACTACTCGGATTCTTTCGGGTTACTTCACAAGCCCACAGTACCCGATCATCCTGGAGTAATGCGAGCTATAGATGTTCGGTGGATCGATATGGACATGTTGAAGCAGTGGATAACAACATGCAATACAACTCACGGACTTCTATGCAAGCAAATACCTTGGCTCCAGCGTAGAGAGGTTGTGCGGCCCAAATACCTCATTGATACCATGGAGATGTGCATCGTTGAAGGTGACCGGGTTGAAGTAGGATATATCGCACTGAGTTACCAATGGGGCCAGACCAACACGGTTCGAAACACAACTGAGCTGCGCGAAAGACTTCTCAAGCCGAACGCGCTTTCAGATGGGAAGCTTGCTGGAAACATACCAAGAACAATCAGCGATGCTTTCGTCGTTGTCAAGGCGCTAAGCTATAGATATCTCTGGGTGGACGCCCTATGTGTTGTGAGTACATGCATGCCGCTTTGTTCCAAGCGAACCGTAGTTGACATAGAATTAGATACAAGATGATCATGTCCATCTTGCTCATGAATTGTCACGAATGCACCGCATTTATCACTCTGCCGATTTCACCATCGTTGCTGCAGACGGAGTTGATGCGAACCATGGACTACGGGGACTCAAAGGCCTGACCACGGCGCGAAATCATTCTCAAATGCCTATACAGCTGTCCGGGTCGGAGCAGGTCGTAGTACGCCATCCTGCGAAAAAATACCCAGGCTCTCACGGCCGAAACACCTATCACACCAGAGCGTGGACGTTCCAAGAGTTTGGCTTCTCACTTCGGAGACTAGTCTTCGCAAATGATGCCGTCGAGTGGCATTGTGAATGGGGTCTGACGCGCGAAGACATGATCAGAGAACTACCCGAACCAAGCAATGGCCAATACTTTGATGCACGACAACGTCCCACGGTTCATCGACTGCTTACAGATAAAATGCCAACACCCCACTCGCTGAACGATCTAGTTAGTGCGTACAGTAATCGTATACTAAGCTTTCCAGAAGACGCATTGTCTGCATTTGCTGGCACTCAAAGTCTGCTCGAACAATTTTTTCAGCCTGGCTTTCTATGCGGACTTCCGGAATTTTGGTTCGAGCTTGCTTTGCATTGGAGGCCTTACAATGGCAGTATAGGATGGCGCGTAGCTTCGAGCTCAGGGTGTTCTCCTAAAACGTCCTACAAACTGCCGAGTTGGTCTTGGATCGGCTGGACCGGTAGGAGAGACAGGCCCGGCACGATTGGCGATATACAATTTCCTAAAGACGACGACGATTACGATGGCCCATTGTTTGGCCGCTTCACAGAACCTGTCACTAAGTGGTATGCTCTTTCCCATCCTGCCTCTCTTGACCGAAGACCAATCACTTCAGCATGGCATGAGTACCGCTCAAAGGCAATAGAAGGCCGCTTCGTCACTCTACCTCAAGGATGGAAACAACACGCCGACGAAAAACGAGGAGTCACGTTTAGCCATTATCGTTCACATCGGAAATACTCATATCCATTCCCCGTACCGGAGCCTTCCTCTAAAATTATAAGCACCCCCGTTCCACAAACCGCATATCTCAGCGCCCAAACAAGCCGAGCGTTCCTATGTGGTAAAGCCGCACGCAACAACGCATTAATGCGTGAAAACCACGTGTGGTTGAAATCGTCACAAGATCAATATGCTGGCTTTCTTTACCTCAACAATCCAGAACAAGAATCTCTCTTCAAACAGACAGGCAACGATTCCTCATCCCCTAACCCACTAGAGCTTGTGGCAACAAGCAAAGGAACGATCAGATCCCTATTCCCTCCAGAGCTAGACTGGAAACTCGAGCTCGAACGGAGTTCCGAGGCGTTTCGTATGGGTAAAGAGAGAGAAGAACGGAAGGTTGTCGACTG